AATTCTACTTTTTGGTTGCCAGAAGAAAGAGAATAGACCCATAAGGGCATCCTGCAACACTATACCAGCAAATGGGATCCAAGTTTTAATCAAATCCACGGGGCACCAGCCAACTGAATTTCCTTTTGCTAGTGACAAGTTCCTTAATCAAGCCACCTTCTTCCTTGAAATCAGTTGGCTGAATTTTTTTGGCTCCCCATCAATGCTTCTGTAATGGTATGTGGGAAAGACCTTGAGAGATTGGGCCAAGAGACGCTGCCAAGGGAACAGACAGATAAGAGACTGCATAGCCCACAGCTGAATAGTGGATGGGGCAAGAGGCTCAGAAGGGACCCTCCCTAGTTTCTCGGGCTGTAAAGGAGATGGGGGAAGAACTGTACTTTGAGACTTGCAAGATTCTGTTTATGTAGCTTTACAATAAAGTAGAATTAGCTCATCTGGTCTACCTAGTAAGGCTGACATCAAACTTGCAAGAGTCAAAGAACAATTCTCCCATCTCCTTTACAGACTGAGAAACTAGGGAGGGCCTTTTCTGAGCCTCTTGCCCCGTCCACTATCCAGCTGCGGGCTATGCTGTCTCTTATCTGACCGCTCCCTTGGCTATCTCTTATCTGACTGTTCTCTTGGCCCAGTCTCCCAAGGTCTTTCCCACATACCATTACAGCTTCATGCTAAATTTGGAAGCCCTTGAACAAAGAGGGCTATTTAAAGCAAGGCCTAAATAAAATTAATAAAAATGGGAGAAGCTTCAGTGTCCAAGGACTATTGATTTGGCTAGGTTTCTATAAGGGGCAAAACCATCGTCTGCTTTGTTAGATTTGAGCTTTGCACATTGGCTGAATCTAACTAATGAGGTTTGCAAGAATGGTTTATGGCTTAATGTGGAGGGTTGTAAATAGACCCGCCTTGATTTTATAAGATGAAACAGAGAGGAAACAGGCTTTCAAGATGTATGCCAGCCCTGCAAGGTAGGCCAGGTCAAGAAACAGGCACAGCAGAGATTCCAGGAATGCTCTTTATGGCAAGAAGAACCGAGTCTTGAAGAGACTGAAATAACAGTAAAACAGAAGCCACTTTCACACGGGGAGAAAAACGTTGAGAAACCACAAGGCGAATTTCATCCCAGCATTAATGACATTTTTAGTTCAAGTGGTCCTGAGAGCAGAAAGAAGGTGGAAGCGCAGGAGCTCTGGGGAGCCCCACCGCTCTCGCTTTGCTTGCTGTTCCTTGCCAATGTTTGCCCAGGTTAGAGCAAACACACAGCCCAGCTCAAAAGCAATTTCAGTGTTCAAGATGTTCTGTTCAAATGTTTCATGCCCTGCATGGCTAAAAGGTATCTTCAGCCGCCGTGCGATCCTGGGGAGCGCGGGGGGTAGGGGAAGTGGGCGACATACACAAGATGCAACTTCTCTAATATCCGATTTCTCCTTCCTATTGAAAAAAGCAAGACCAAAACCAGTCAGCTTGCGTGCTTCCTCAGCTTAGCTTTCTTAATTCTCCGGCTTAACTGGAGTTCCTAGCAGATAGTGCAAAGGAAAGGAGGCCTTTCAGAGGAGCCGGGTGGATTGACCAAAGTCAACAAAACTCAACATTGCTGGGAGGAGGGAAAACTTGCAAATAATCTGGGTTTTCTACCCCAGATCTGACAGTTTTACACCAAGGGCAATTTGTTGTCGGAAAGATCACCAATCCCTAAATACGGTCATTTGACTGTGCTTACGGATTCTGGAAGCTGAAATTAAAACTCTGAAGGGCACCAGGTTGGAATGAGTCCGGGTACATGAAGGGGTGTCTGTAGTATGTGGTCAAAAAAGAATATGGTGGCTGAAACAGTGTGATTGAAGGTCCCTTGGTTTTTTTGTGTGACCCTACAGACACCCCTATGAGTCCATACCCTGTGGACACGCCTGGACATGTATGGCGTCTTTCCTCTTCTAACGTGCCTACAAAGGTGCTACCTGAAGATATCACACGAATTTTCAATCAAACCTGGTCTTTCTACATCCAGTCTGTGACCAACAATAGCTATTTTTTAACTACCAAACATGGAAAACAAGCCAGGGTAGAACTATGATTTGAAGCTGGCCTACTTCCTTTCAACCAAAGTTACGTGTGGTCAATTTGGCAGGTCTGTCATCACCCTAATGCAAAGTGTTTGTTTTGGCTGAGTGCCCTGGGCGAGACTGATCGCTGTAGTTTGTAAGCCACAGTTGATTGTAAACCATGATTAAAATAAACCACGGCTCAATGAGAAGTGTGAATCAGCCTTTGGCTGAGCAAGAGATAATAATACAAAAAAACATGTAAGGCTGAAAACTGGGGGGGGGGAATCCTTCTTGTCACAGAAAAAGAGAACTGTGAAATCAAAGTGCTAAACTAGAGTTTAATGTTCCATCCAAGTACAACTGAAATGTCTCAATCGCATCCTGCGTGTCAGGACTGAAATCAGCCACTGATACATCACAAATATATAACGTTGCCTCCAAGATAGACACATCAATTTTCAGCAAAAAATACAAGCAAGTTGTAAGGTGCCAAGGCAGACAAACAAAGAGACTGAAGATGATTTTAGCGTTCCCAGTTTAAACAGAACTGTTTGTAACAAGGGATCACTATATTAACACATTGGAGGTATTTTTTATTTTATTTTATTTTGGTTCCCTTGTGACTGACAGGGGATCCATGCTGGGAATGCAAAAGAGAGATTTTTCAGTAAAAGGCAGGAAAAAAACTGGGGAAAAAATGCTGTGCGGTTGAAAGCGAGAACCAAATTCCTACCTAAGCTTTTATGACAGCCAAGGACCACGTTTGTGGACAATTTGTGACAGAATTGAAAGACTGGAAAAGGTAGGAAAGACGGTGACCAGATTGCATAAAGCTTTTTGGGAAAGAGAGCCTGAGGCAATGACATGCATTTAAAATACCTGACATGCGCAACTTTAATTGAATATGATCCTGCACCCCTATATTTAGTACTATTAATAATTATATTAATAATTAATATAATTAATAGTATTATAGTATTAAAACGGAAATAGAGATTTTAATAACTCCTGTAAAATTAAAGCGGTTAAAAATATCTTAGGGATTTAATCAAACGCGAGTTGAGTCCCCCAAGCTGAACCTGCCTCTCACCTCACTGAATGTACCTACGTAGACCCATGGGAGGGAGGCAGAGCGGTTAGAAGGCCGAGGAAGACTGTGTGGTGTAGTGGTTAGTGAGATTCGGGCTACCTGGCGCCAGTCCCCACTCTCTCACTCACAGAATGACTTTGCGCTAATCTCAGCCCCCCAGCCCGCCTTGCAAGTTTGTCTTTGCAAGGAGAAAAGCAAGGGACGATCCTATGCCAGCCCCAGCAGCTTGGCGGAAAGATGTGATGTCCATGTAAGAAATCATTAAAAAATGCTGAGCAGGAAGGGCAGGCAAAGAAGGATCAGGGTGTGGATTTGGATAACTAGTCCACCAAGATGGGCAACTGGAAGGTGGGTCAGTAGATCAGAGAGCGGTGCCAGAGAAGTCCAGTAGGAAGATGAAGGATGGATGAGGCCCCATTTCTATATCAATCGTTTTGTTTGATTCTCATCCTGCTTTTCCCCTGAGAAAATCTGCAACGGTCCCCTCCCTGCTGCTTTGCAGCAATTCGAAGCTATGGCAAGGATAGAAATGCAAATTCTCCTCTCCGTCAAAGCACCACCAAGCCTATCTGAGTCTAGGTGACACAATGAATGCCAGCTGCGCATCCTCCATGCTTTGGATACAGCTCTCTCTGTTGTACAGCACCCTGAAAAGTGGAACACCTGCTTCACACACCGAAAGGTTGTAGTTTAAGCACCGGGATCTCTCCGTAAGGCTGAGTAAATCTTCTGCTTGATTTCCAGGACCGTTCCCACCTGTTGGCGCCATAAATGCTGTTTGTCCTTTCCTAATTCTCTCATCACCCTGATTTTCCTATTCCTCATTTGTTTCAACAGAAAGTCACACTTCATTTTCCCTTTTTCCTCCTTTTCTTTGAAGGCAGTGGAACCCAACCCAAAATATTTGCTGTTCAGGGAAACCCCAGGCGCTGCAGACGGAAGATGAACAACCGGGCCATGCAAATTCAAAAGCTGGTTTTATCTGACGCCCTTTGTTGCCAGCTTGCAATGACTGTATTTGGAAACGTAGGGCCCCAACCACAATAACGGAGAAATGGCTGAACGTGGGGATTTTGATTAGACTAACAAGATTATTCCACGCAGATGTGTTGAGCAAAGCAATGCGCAACTCACAGCCTGTCTGCTAATCCGGCCTGAACAAAAGCCTACTTAGATGGAGCCTTTTTATTGCGGAAGAGGTTGGCAACTTGCCACCGGCAGGCCACGGGCAGCCTTGTTGGCCCACTCAAAACTGGTCTGCTAAGTGGGTGAATTGATATACACACACGTGTACGTGCACGTATATGCTTTCTGTTTGGTTTTCAGAAGCTGTGTTAAATTGTTTTTTTGTGGGCTGTCGTTAGCTGCTCAGAGTTCATGTGTCAGGTGGGTAGCCATATAAATTTTCTAGAAAAAATATGATGATAGTGGTTGGTTTTTTTCGCTCCCCCAAGGATAAACAGAGCACTGAGCCCCCAATAAACCCCCTTCCCGAAACTGCTCAACCTGAATAATGCAACCAAGAATTAAGAATGGCCAAGCCCCCACTTCTCATCACCACCACATTCCTTGCTGTACAGGTAGTCCCCGGGTTAAGAACACCTGGTTTACGGACAACCCATAGCTAAGAACGGAGCCTATGGTAGCAAAAACTGAGTTAAATACACAATGATTCGAGTTCATTACACAATACTACTTATGCAGTATTATACAATCATCCTGTTCCGGCTTACGTACAAATTCGACTTAAGGACAGACCTTGGGAACGGAACTCGTCCTTAAACTGGGGACTGTATAGCCCTGGGAGCATGAACAAAATTGGCTAAACTATGATCCATTCTGATCAAGAGTTTTAACGGCCTTACCAGGCATGCCGTGTATTAAATCCCCGCATAGGACAAAGAATTTTGGTTTTGGGTTCAGGCGGTTAATTGCTTCCACAGCCTGTCGGGTGAGTTGCAATTCTGCTTCCCATTCGTCGCCACCGCTGTCGCAATCGCCGATGGCATACGCCTTCATCAGTCCAAACTGAGGATCTGCTCCTTGAATAAAATAGAAAGGGCCCTTCCATTCCTGTTCTGCATCTGGAAAAAAAAAAAAACATGGGGGGGGGGGGATATCTGATTACCCAGAGGGTTCCAACCATCAAAACATATGCAAACCTTTGCAGCAGAAACCAGAGCCAACGTGCCAGGAGAAATCCAAACTCTGGAGAAAGAAGAGTCTCCTGGTTTAAAAATCCTGAAGATACTGGCTGCATCTTTAAATTATTTATTTATTATCAGATAGACCTGCGCTTGCCAGCTTCTGCAAGGATTTTCTCTCTCTTTATCTTCGCAAAAGGGGAAGGATGGGTGGAACATGCTCACGCAGTGGGTGGACTTGAACCTAGGTCTCACCAATCTTAGTTCGACACTTTAACCCCTGCACTGTGTTGGCTCTCAGCCCCAAAGGCAGGAAGGTTCCGAAGGGAAAGGGGTCATGGCTAAGAAAGCCCCCTCAGTGGAAGGTGCATTTCAGCAACCCCCACCAAGTCATTTTGGAGCCCCCATAGCATAAAAGCCAGTTTGGTGTTGTGGTTAAGGCACCAGGTTAGAAACCGGGAGACCGTGAGTTCTAGCCCCATCTTAGGCACAAAGCCAAGTGGATGACGTGGGGCCAATCCCTCTCTCTGGATATAGATGAGGCTACTATCACAATGAAGAGAGTCAGTTTGGGGTAGTATTAAGGCATCAGGCTGGAATCCAGGAGGCCATGAATTCTAGTCCCGCCTTAGGCATGAAGCCAGCTGGGTGACCTTGAGCCGGTCCCTCTCTCTCAGCCGTGGGAAGAAGGCCAACCACTTCTGAAAATCTTGCCAAGATAACTGCAGAGACTAGTCCAGGTAGTTGCCAGGAGTCAATGCTAACTTGAAGGCACTATAGATAAATCAATATGTAAATAAATAAAGATGACAGAGAGAGAGAGAGAGAGAGCGAGCGAGAGAGCGAGAACTTGTAGGCAGGTCAGTCATCCCATAAGACAGTTTTTTTTTCCCATCATGTTGCCTCATCCAGCCTTGGAAATGCTTATAGCCCTTCCAAAACGTAGCACAAAGCACAGAGCAAGAATCAGAAGGCCAAGGGGGAACCAAGTTAGCGGCAAGCCCAGATTTCATTCTAGTGCCCGTTTGAACATGGCAGGTGGAAGGATCCATGTACTGGATTTACACATTGCACTAAGACACCCAAGAATCTATTTAATCTTGGTTTAGCCTGTAGTAGGAATCCACCCCTTGCAGCTTATTCAATAAACTATGCCAAGGATTCAGCTTAACGTGATCATGGAACTTAGTGACACGGTAATGGTCTAGCAGGAACACTCCCAGAATCACACTGGAGCCTTCCAAATTTGACACCGAGCATTGTTTCACAGGCATGTCCCCTTATAGTCGCAGCACTGTTAGCAAATGTTCTCCAAACATTTCATTAAAATGCAATAAACAAACTTTGGAAAGAGCTGAGGGCTGACAGTGCATCATGCTGTTTCTGGATTTGCCAATTTAGTAAATTTAGTTAATCATTGTCAGACCTTCAAGGTAAGCAAGATCAAGAAACAGACATGGCAGGGATTCTAAGAACGCTTTTTAAAAAAAATTGTTGTAGGGTAGAATAATAGAATCTGGAAAGCCTGTCTCTCTCACCCATCTTATATCAAACCTAATCAAAGTGGGGAACCTTTAATTTTCTTATGGTTTCCTCTTTCTTAGGACTGAAGTATCTTTTCTGAAAGCCTGTCATGGTATAGGGGAATGACCTTGGGAGACAGGAGGAAGAGCCACAAACTATACAATGGTCAGATAAGCGTCAGCTGAGCCCGCAGAAGGAATGGGGAAGTGGCAAACGTCTCAGAAGGGACCTTCCCTAGTTTCTTGAACTGTAAAGGCGAGGGGGGAGAGATGTACGGTCAGACTTGCAAGATTCTGTTAATGTAACCTTACAATAAAGTTAGAGCTAGTACTCCTGGGTGTGCTTCTTATCTGCACTACCTTGCAAGGCTGGCATCCCTCCCTCACCCCCCGC